AAGTAGGAAAAGTTAAACAGTCAGCAGCTAATCAACAAACAACTCTTTAATTAATTAATTAATTCATTCATTCATTCATTCATTCACTAACTTATTACATTCACTAACATTCAATCACGAAAAAACAGTATGCTTGAAAAATGCAAATGAAAACGGTCATAACAAACACGCGCAAATAGCACGAAAGAGGGGAAGAAAGAAGGTAGAGAAAGATAGAGAAGAGAGAGAGAGAGAGAGAGAGAGAGAGAGAAAGAGAGAGAGAGAGGGAGGGAGGGAGGGAGAAAAAGAGAGAAAAAGAAACGGTGAGGAAGTGAGACTAAATAAATAAAAAATTTGAAAGCTATGCTTTTATAAAGTCAACAAAAATAACAAAAAACAAACAAAATAAAAAATGAAAAAACATAATGACGCAATAATAATAATAATAATAATAATATAATATTAATATTATTATTATTATAATGATAATAATATCATTAAGATTGGTAGTTTCTCAGATGTCAGTCAAATTATTATGAATCTGTATTATTAGTAGCCATGGGAACATGCATACACACATACATACACATACTTACAAACACACATACACATACATACATGTACACGTACGCAAACACACACATACATACACATGTACATACAAATATGAAGATGCAGAAACACGTACAAATGAATTCATATACAATTTGTTATTATTATTATGTTCACAGTAATACAAAAATATATTCGCATGTATGTATTTTTGTATGTATATTTGTATATATGTGTGTTTGTATGTGTATTTGTATATATGTGTGTTTGTATGTATATTTGTATATATGTGTGTTTGTATGTATATTTGTATATATTTGTTTGTTTGTATGTATGTATGTGTTTGTTTGTATGTATGTATGTATATATGTGCGTTTGTATGTGTTGCACGTATGTTTGTACGTGTTTGTTCTCTTTATTTCGACTTCTTCTTCATCAGCCTGCCGAAGAATTGCAAATTAATTTCAGTTAATTTAAAATGTGAATTCAAAATCATACCGCGTGCAAGGCAAAGTCATACACTTTTTTTCATGTGATAAAAAAAGAACAACCTTGCAATCAAACCAGGTCATTGCAAAACGAAATCCAAGCACTCTACCAAATGGGCCATCAACGCACCCTGAAGACTACTCTAAAAACAAAAAAGAGTTACATACCTGGCTTTCTGCCTAAGTTCAGCTTTCTCGAGTAGCATTTTTTCAGTCCTGTCCTTCCTGGCTTCGATCTCGGCTACACCTGTTGTATCATTCCTCGATTCTTTGTCTTCAAGTGCTTGCTGAAGTTGTTCGTAGTCGACTCGAAGCTCCTGGATTCGATTGCAAGCATCTACCTCGAGGTCGTCGTTGTTCTGTGCGTTGTTGTTGTTGTATGAGTTGTTTGGTTTCTGGTGATGTTGACTATTTAGTTGTGTGATCGGTTGGCTGTATGGATGTATATGGAGAGAGTGTGTGTGAGTATTAATATGTGTCTGATTGATTGACTGATTAATTTATTAGTTGAATGGATAGTTAATTGATCGATTG